CTCCCCACTCCTCCCCACTCCTCTCACCTCCCCACTCCTCACTCCTCCCCACTCCTCTCACCTCCCCACTTCTCACTCTTCCCCACTCCTCTCACCTCCCCACTCCTCCCCCACTCCTCGCTCCTCCCCACTCCTCACTCTTCCCCACTCCTCGCTCCTCCTCATTCCACTCACCTCCCCACTCCTCACTCCTCCCCATCCTCAGTTTATCCCTTCGTAGAGGGGTAGGGGTGAGGGAGGAGACTTCCTTTCCACCCCTTCTTCCCTGCTGTCACACCAGAGATGCTACGGTAATGAGCGGCTGCTGGCGGACTCAGTGAACAGGCCCCAGGAACAGATGGGAGGGCCCGGGGCTGAGCTGGCCCTACCTTGCCCACACTGGCCAGCAGCTGGAGGCCTGAGACCTGGTCATCGAGGCTCAGCCAGAACTCCGCGTTGTCATCTGCAGCAATGGCAAACTGGATTTTCCCTGGGCAGTGGGGAGAGTTTCCAGATGAGGGCAAGGAGGGCATCAGCATAAAAAGCTGGCGGCTTTTTCGAGTGTCTTAGCAATTAAATTCCCTTCAGGGCTGGATGCCGTGGCTTCCCTCTCTGTTAAGTGGGGGTCTCTACATCCTGGGAGACAGTGTGAAGATGGAAAAGACATAGAGAGAGAGGAGCTGGTTCCAGGCTACAAACCAGGGAGCAAAGCAGCAGCCTGTGGGAGTTGGACGAGACCGCAGTGTGACTCGATTTCCCCTCTCTCCCTGAGGGGGGACTAACAGGAAGTTAGTCCCGTCTACCCGTAGCCTTGTGTGGTGTTCTCTGGGTCCCGTGCGGCACTCTAGAGCGGGCGGAAGGATGGGTTGGGGCTGGCCTCACCGTCAGTGAAAGGGTGCAGGTAGCCAAAGATGCGGAGGCCATAGTTGGTCCATCTGGGGGACACGGCCAGCTTCCTCAGGGTTGTGCGAATCTATGCCAAGAAAGGGGAAGGAAACAGTCACCCAGAAGAGGGAAGAGGAAGTCGGTCCACCCAGGGTTGGTGGGAAGACTAGGAGGGGACTATGACAGGAGGGACCAGGGCTGTGGCTTCGTGAGCGGAGTGCAGGCTCAATTTCAGCTCCCATATGCCTCTTTGTCCAGGAGACTTGTACAGTGCACAACCAGCACAACTGTACATGGTGGCCCTGGGTATACTATATTGTGAGCCAGAGAGTCTGAAACGGAAATGATGCAGAAGATGAAATTGAAAGAATCCCTAGGAAGGAAACAAGGGAACTATTATGAGCAGACAAAAAGAGAGCTCAAAAGATAAAGGAGAAAATACGGACCAGAAAAGAAGCAAGGAAAGACGCGAGACAGAAGTGGGCAGAGGAGGCAGGTGTGGAGGGAGGTGGGCACGGCAGCCCTCAGGCACTCACGTGGGGGTACAGCGGGAAATGCAGGTTCCTCCTGAGCTGCTGGATAGAGCTGCCACACCAGTCCTCAAACACGTGCAGGTTGGCACGGCCCCGGAACTGCAGGGCGGAGGCACAGTGGTGAGTGTGAGCACCCCATGCCCGCCCCAGCTCCTCAGCTCTGGGAGGCTGGGCAGAGAGGGGCCAGTGCTCCTCTCACTGTGCGGGTCCGGCCCACTCTATCCCATTCCTAGCCCAGCACCTGGCACTTATTTCAGGAACCTGGTGCTGATGTTCACCCCACGGCCTGGCCTCGAGGACAAGGTCTGCTCTGGCCGTGCGCGCACACGCACATACTCTCCCTGGTCCTCCCATGCAGGAAGGGGGCTGGTTTTCATGCCTCAGGCAAGGGGGGCAACGGTTGTGAGAGAATAGCTGAGAGGACAGGGAACTAGGAGGAGCCTGCTGGGGTCTCAGGGAAGACTTGCTCTCCTCCCCTCCCCGTCCCTGATGCCTGAGGAGAGGAAAGCTCCACAGCTGTCTGCCTGTGAAACCTTATCTACCCAGGGGTCTCCACGCTTCTGGCTCCCCTTGGGAAGCAGCTGGGAGGCACCGCAGGAGGGAGCTGGGGCCCATCTGGGCTTGCTAGCATCTCGGTCTCCCACAGCTCTCGAAGGCCTCCAAGACTCATTCTGAGCAAGCCGTTCCTGGGACAGCCTCGGGACAGTGCCAGTCGGGTCGGATCCCCTCTCTCCTCTGTAGGACTGGGCTTGAAGGCCCAGAGCAGAAGGCCCCCTTCTCCAGAAAGGGCTAAGGCAGGATCCAGCACTCTTTGAGTGGGTGGCAGGGCTAGAAATTTGAGAGGAGAGGGGAAGCGTGGGGGCTTTGTGCCAATCATCCAGACAGTGGGCCTCAGATCATCCCATGCCCTCCCCTCCCCCAAGGCTTCTGTCCAGGTTGTGGGAGGTGGGGCCTGATGACTCCCTACCAGTAGCCTGCCCTGGCCTCCTTGCCATGCCCACCAGATAGCAAAATCTGGACTGCCCTTAGGAACTATGAGGGGACACCCAGATAAGAAGAAGTGGCGCAAGTTCAGCAAGAGATCTGTAGGAGGGAGGATGGGCAGGCGGGGAGAGGAGTGGGGCAGGGGATAACTCCTCAACAGGAGTGCCCACGGTCCCAGGTGTGGCTGGGAGGGTGGGCGCAGCCTCCGGGGAACACTGCCCCAGCGCTGGATCCAGAGACACAGGGGAACCTGTCTCTCCCTGCCCTCCAGCAGTGTGGCGCTAACGGGGCACACTGGCCTGCTCAATGCTAGGAATGTGGGCCTTGGGAAGCAGCCGTCACTCACAGAAACCGAAGTGGGGGACTGGAACGGGTGGGAGCGGGAATGTGGGCTGGGTAGGTGGGTGGTGGGTTAAAGCTTCAAGGAAGGAAAGAATGGGGACATTGTGCGACTTCAGGGGAAAATCAAGTCCAGTTTATAAGACTCAGCTGTCTCCTCCGAAGGCCTCCTTCGGCCCCCTCCCTGGGAGATACGGATCCCAGCAGGGAGGGCAGCTGGGGAGGGCACGCCACCAGAGAAGCCTGTTGTGTTCAGCCTGGAGGCCAGAGGCCAGAGGCCACGGGGACCGGGCAGGGAGAGGAGGGGCAGAGGGAGGCACTGGAGGCACTGGCTGGCCGCTCCTGCCTCACCCTCAGGGTCTTTCTTGCCCGAGCAATGAGATCATCAGATGCCACAGGCGGCCCCAGGCAGACAGGGTGGGAGTGTGGGAAGAGGAGCTACCTGCGCTAAGCCCAGGCCCTTACGCAGCATTGGGCCAGCCCTCAAACCATGCTGCACCCACTCTCAGGCTGTAGGTGGGGGTCTCTGAGGGGCCAGTGGGCACCCTCTTCCTCCCTGGGCCTGGGATGAGAACCCCCCCGCTCCCCGAAGATTTGTGTCCCTCTGAGTTTTGGAGGCTTTGTATCTGGCGGGGACGTGGGACTCCAGCACACCAGCCCTGCCCTCTGCCCACTCGCTCCACTGTCCAGCAGTGACTAAGGCCCAGGGAGGAGCACTGGTCACTCCAAGTGCCAGAGCATGTCTATGGCCAATGGTGGTTTTGAAACTTCCAAAGTTCCAAGTACAGGAGAAGGTATCTGTTGGAACCGTGTCATTTTAAGGGTGAGGACACTGAAGCTCAGAGAGGTAAAATGACTCCCCAAGGACACACAGCAAGTAACCCTTGGGGAAGGGGAGGGCATCATGCAGGGGTGTGGGCCACACAGGAATATCCACTGCCCCGCTGGGCCCTCACTCGGCCGCAGCAGAGCCTCCACCTGGATCTCGGCTTCTCCCCCACACGGAGCCCTCACTGCCTCCAAAACGGTCGTCCTGAAGCTCGGATCTGACCAAGCCACTCTGCTGTTTGAAACCTCCGAAGCTTCCCAGAAGGCTTCAGAACAGAGCCTCGCCCAGCGCACGAGTCCGACCTACCTTTTCCGCCTCACCTCACACCACTCCCTGTCACACGCCTTTGCTCCACCCACACCAAACCCCTGTCTTTGCCAAAATCGTCCTGCTGTTTCACTTCTCCATGCTTTTACAAATGCGATTTCCTGATTGGAAGGCCCATTCATTTCTTCCTTACGTGGCAAACTCCCGCTCATCCTTCAAAGTTCTTCTCAAACAGTTCTCTCTGAGGCCTGCTATGACGTCCCCAGGCAGAGGGAACAGCTCCCTCCCGGGTGTTCCCTGCACATCCTAATTATTTAAATAACCAACACTTGGAGGAGCTAAGCCCAGAACAGTATGTTCCTCCATTCTACAAGCACTGAGTGTCTGCTCTGTACCCCTTCAAGATAAAAGACAGATGGTCCTCAAAGGAGGCAGACACGTAAACAAAAGGGTGTCACCTGCGCCAGGGGCTCTGGCAGAGGTATGAGGTTCAGAGGGGCACGAAGGCAGGAGCCGTCAGCCTCCTCCAGGAGCACTCGGAAGCCCCTCACAGGACGTGGGCTCTGACTGACCCTCTGCTTCCGCTAAACCCTCTGCTACTCAACCAGAGGCAAACTCGCAAGACCACACATACCTGGCTAGTGGTTCAGTTTTAACTCACCGGGCAGTGGGGCTTCCCCCGGAGGAACACAGCAGGGTGATTAGGTCACCGGTTCCTGCACACCAGGAACTCCTATGTCCTGTTCAGAGTTCGAGGACTCCATCTATTTTATTTCATTTTATTTTATATTTCATTTTATATTATTTTATTTTAATTTTTCACCGTCCCGTCCCATCCCGTCCCATCCCTTTATTTTTAAGGTCAGGGCCTCACTCCACTGCCCGGGCTGGAGTGCAGCGGCACAACCATGGCTCTCTGCAGCCTCAAACTCCTGGCCTCAAGCAATCCTTTCTCCTCAGTTGCCCAAGTAGCCGTAACTGCATGTGCAAGGCACTACACCTGGCTAATTTTTTTATTTAGTAGAAATGGGGTCTCCCTATGTTGTCCAGGGTGGTCTCAAACTTCTGGCCTCAAGCGATCCTCTCGTCTTGGCCTCCCAAAGTGCTGGCATTACAGGTGTGAGCCACCACACCCAGCCTTGAATTGTACACTTTAAATGGGTGAAATGTACGGTATGTGAATTACAGTTCCATAAAGCTGTTTTAAAAAAATAAATAAATAAATAAAAGGAAAGGCTGAGAACAGGAAGGAGCCTGTGTCACGGCTCTGTCCACAAAAGACAGACGTTGCCTTCTCAAAGCCTGTGTGAACAACCCATGAAAACTCTGATCTCACTTGCTTTGATCTGACTTTGTACTCACCAAATTTCTTTCTTGTAACTATTTTGGGTTTTGGGAGTGGCCTGGCTGGCAGACACAGCATTTTGGTGAATGGAGCAGTGTATTTACCAAAACATGAACAGACTGTCACCGGGGTGTGTTAATGAGTGTCTTGGGATCCGTGTCGGTGTGAGAAGTTTTGAAACAGTCACTCCATGAAGCCCAGGCCCCTAGCCATCCAGTCTGATCCGTCGGCCTCTGGTGCACCAAGTCAAACGTCCGAGGCTGCTGAGTCTCCAGAGTGACTTCTGGCCTCAGAGACCCTGGGCTGCCAGCCAAAGCCCGGGGCAGGGAAGCAGTGAAAGAGGAAGCCATTGTCATCTTCCTCATCTCCTGCCCTTGCTCCCCTTTACAGCAGGGCCCTGCACTAACTCTGTGACCCTGAGCTGACCTCTCTGGGCCATTATCTGGAAGAGGGACATCAGAACAGCCTGACGGCTCCTGGACACCAGTAGATGCTCAATAAATGACCTGTATTATTAACCTGGGAACCTCCTGCCAGCCAAGGACGGGCAAGGGGATGGGAACAGAAGTCCCCACGATGTGGAGAGGCCGCGAGGCTGGGCTGGAAGCCAGTTGGCACCATTATGCAGCCGTGTGACTGCCGTGTTGTTTGGCCTCTCCAGGGCCTTCCCTCCTTATTCTTCTCATTGATCAAGTACAAGGATTGGATCAGTGAATCCCTGAACAGCCATGAAGACGGTAATGATGATTTTGTAAGCTACTTTTAATATTTAAAAATGGAAATCAGTCATTTGCCACCAAAAGGCCATACACACTTACTAAAATAGCCAATATTTCTTCTTCTTTTTTTTTTTTTTTTGGGGGGATGGGGGTCTCCCGCTGTCACTCAGGCTGGAGTGCAGTGGCACAATCTCGGCTCACTGCAGCCTTAACTGCCTACACTCAAGCAATCCTCCCACCTCAGCCCCCCCAAGTAGCTGGGACCACAGGCGTGCATCACCACGGCTAGCTATTTTTTTTATTATTATTTGTAGACACAAGGTCTCACCATGTTGCCCAGGCTGATCTGGAACTCCTGGGCTCAAGCAATCCCCCCACCTTGGCTTCCCAAAGTTCTAGGATTCCAGGCTTGAGCCACCAAGCCCAGCCCAATTTTGATCACTATTTACTATTTGTTCGCTGTTTTTGTTTTATTATATGTTTATATATATGTTCTCGATTAGCAAAAACAAGTGGAGAAATTAGTTATTCAGGCGGGCGGATCATGAGGTCAGGAGATCGAGACCATCCTGGCTAACACGGTGAAACCCCGTCTCTACTAAAACTACAAAAAAAACTAGCCGCTGGGCGAGGTGGCGGGCGCCTGTAGTCCCAGCTACTCGGGAGGCTGAGGCAGGAGAATGGCGTGAACCCGGGAGGCGGAGCTTGCAGTGAGCCAGCCAAGATGGCACCACTGCATCCAGCCTGGGCGACAAAGCAAGACTCCATGTAGGCTGGATCACCAGACCAAATGATCTGTAAGGCAAGTTCTTTTCAAAGTACTATCTCCAGGTAGGGCGGGGCATAATTACCTGGTGATGTCATCTAGAGCAGGTGCCAGCATTGTACTCCATCCTCTCCCAGGGCTTTAAAAGGAGGCAGCTTCACCGTGTGGACAACTAACATCACATTCAGTACAATACCACCTCCTTCACTCTTGCCTCAGAGTAAGTGGGTGGACTGGAAATGAAACTGCCCAGGCTGAAGAGCTCAGTCTATGAGGTGTGGATAAAGACAATACTAGCCAGCACCACCCAGCCAAGAAAAGTCACCTGTGTCCGCAGGGCCTCGAGACTAAAGACACTGGGTTCTAAACAAGTTGTAAAACAGGAAACTCAAATTTAAAATTTTCACCCCCAAAGCGCCGTGCTACTTGGAAATCTTGGCATAAGGATTTATTTACTCAAGGTAATCTCGTGTATGTTAATTAACTTCCGAGCCTCAGTTTCTTCACCAAAAGAAAAAGAATCTGGGGCCAAGCCTGGTAGCTCACGCCTGTAATCTCAGCACTATGGGAGGCCAAGGCAGGAGGATCGCTTGAGGCCATGAGTTTGAGATCAGCCTGGGCAACATAGTGGGACCCTGTCTCTACAAAAAATAATTTAAAAAATTAGCCAGGCAATGGTGGTACACCCCTGTAGTCCTAGCTACTCCGGAGTTCAAGGTGCAGTGAACTACGATTGTGCCACTGTGATTGCACACTCCAGCCTGGGAAACAGAGCAAGACCCTGTCTCTAAAAAATAAAAAACGAAAAGAAGAAACATCATCTCTCAAAGCCTATAAAAATGAAAAGTATTATGATGGTTCTGATAACTTTTATTCACATGGAACTGCTTCCTGTACAAGTTTTCCAAAGCAGAGTTTCCCAGTGCATGTTCCTCAGGGCATTTCTATGAAACCTAGAGCACTAGTTTCTGAGAGTACAAGAGGCATTTCATGGAAAAAAGCAATTCAGTTCGAGACATGCTGAGCTAAACCAAGTTAAACAGACAGCTGCAGAACTTCCCATACTCTTTCATATGCAGTTAAACAGAAGCTGCGAACTTCCCATACTCTTTCACATGCTAATGTGCATTTCCAGGAAGGTAAGGTAGTGTGTTACCGTTTTAAAAACGTATTTAACAATGTACTCTTTTCTTCATGGAATATCTTATGGCATTTAAGATAGTGGCCCAAGAAAGACAGTTTGGGACGCTTATCTTGAAGACTGGGGATTGGCGTGGCCATGAAAAGTCTTTTAGCTCCCATGAGCCTTGTTTTCCCACCTATAAAATGAGGATAATGACACCGTTTCACAGGGTCGCAAAGCTGAGATGAGATGATCCACAAAGCCTGCCACGCAGTAGGCCTTCGGCAAATGTAAGTGTTCCTTCTCTAAAGACAGAAATCGGGCCGGGCGCGGTGGCTCAGGCCTGTCATCCCAGCACTTTGGGAGTCCGAGACGGGTGAAGTCACGAGTTCAGGAGATATTGGAGAGCCATCCTGGCTAACACGGTGAAACCCTCCGTCCACTGAAAAATACAAAAATTACGCGGGCGAGGTGGCGGCGTGCCTGTAGTCCAGCTACTCAGGGGCTGAGGCAGGAGAATGGCGGGAACCGGGAGGCGGAGCTTGCAGTGAGCTGAGATCCGGCACTGGCACTCCAGCCTGGGCGAGACAGCGAGACTCTGTCTCAAAAAAAAAAAAAGAGAGAGAAGAAATTGAATCAACCTGGAATGCTTGCGAGTGAAAAATTTTCATGAAACCGCTAAGCTGGATGCAGTCATGACCCCACCTGTAAATCCCAACTCGTGGGAGGCTTGAAGCTGGAGGATTGCTTGAGCCCTGGAGTTTGAGACTAGCCTGGCCAACATAGTGAAACCCTTTCTCTAAAAACAACAGCAACAAAAAACTAACTACATAAATAATTTAAACATTTTTTAAATTCACTAGTAGAAAGTTTTCCGTGATCTCTGGAATTATCTGTAAAAACTATTTTTAGCTCTCTCAAAGAGCAGGTACAGTAGAAATTCCCTTACCTCCGAGAGCCAGGGGACAGGCTTGTTCCACTTCAAGTAGCTGCTGTTACTGCTCCCACCTTGGTCCATTTCATGGTCCTAGTGGAAGAATGAAGAACGAACTTGGTAGGAATATTAGGATGAGAAACCGCGGGCAGGACAGGGTTCAGGCCCCTTGGAAGTGCCCGTGGGGAAGCAGAGGGCCAGGAGGCACAGTGCCTGTTCCCAGGGGTGACAGCTCAGAGCATGCCATTCACACCGTGTCCCTGGGAATGCATCTCCGTAGTTTCATCAATGCATGCTCCTCCGGTTCCTTCACTTTTCTGAATTTTCTGTCTTCCCCATATGGGAAAAAACTTTACCCTCATACGGTCAGGACCTCTTGAGGGCAGGGACCTTGGCTCCCTCTTCCTCCTTAAACCCCAGCTCTCTAGATTTGGGTTCCAACAAGGGGGAGCCCCTCGGGGACACCCCCAAACCCTCCCTATCGTGCAGGTCCACAGGCTCAGTTTGGCTGCGGTCCAGCTCTGGGATACATGTCTGTTCCAGGCTCAGCCTTGGGGCTCCTGACTGAATTACACCCCAGTTTCTCTCATCTGCCTCCTTAGGGACCGTCGGCTCAAGAAACACTACAGGGAAATGTTTCACTACAAGTCTATACATATCCCAGCTAAGGGCAGGGAGGGGTGTCCATCCACCTCGTCGCCTCTGATCTCAGCAGCAAGCACAGCACAGCCCAGCCCTCACCCGAGTGAGAGGCACCACATGCCACTGGTGATGGAGGTCACAGGCCCGGAGTGGTTCTGGCATGGGCAGACTGAACTAGGGCACAAGGGCAGACTCCAGAAAGCCAGGCCCAGTGGCACCCCAGGCTTGGAGGAGGCTGGATGGACGTCTCTATGGCTCAGCTAGGAGGTCCCGAGGCCAGACTAGGATTCTGGGGGCTGTTTCTCCTCTGCCTCTCCTCCCAGAGTAGCGGGGGTTACCTTTAAGGCAGCTGGGCAGAGTACCTGAGGACCCTTGTTGAGGCCCCAGCAGGGACAGTGGACTGGCCGGCCACCTACCTCGAGGTTCAGCCTCTGGGGATGGTAGAACTGGAGGTGCGGATCCACAGCTGGAATGTTCCTGCTGGCCAGAGCCTTGGCCAGTTCTCTCCAGCTGCCGTATCCTGTGGAAGGGGAAGAGAGGAACCCTCAGGTCAGTGTAATCTGGAAACCTCATACATCTAAAAGATTTGGAAGGTTAATGGAGGGATTCGTCTTCCCTTGTGCTTCTCACCTCTCTTCAGAGGGTGGGTGGGAAGAGGGCGGGGCTGGGGGCAGGAGATAGCTGCAGATTGGCCAAGGTCCAGCGGGCAGAGAGAGGAGATGAGCTTACATCCCATCAGCCGTCACCGCCTCCCAGAAACCAGAGAAGGAGCCAGTCCCGGTGAGCATGGACCACGGGCCTCCCACTACCGGCTCGTTCTCCCCCGGTTGCCTCTGGAGGCCAATTTCTCCCAAGAGCTGCTGTGGAGAGATGGTTGCGACAGGCGGTACACTCTTCCCTTCCTGCTCGGCTCCTGTGCCCTGAGCCCAGGGAACAGCAGGGGGTTACTAACGGGTGGGGAGCCCTTCCATTGATCACTGGGTTGCTGGATGGAGCCAGACCTGAGAGAGGCAGGAAGGGGTGGGCCTGGGATATGGTGTCTGTCAAACAAATTTATAAACCACTGGAGGTACAAGATTAGAGGCCCTGCTACTACTGGCGTCATCGGGAGGCTGCGTGGGGCTGATGCTGTCTGCCCTGAAGGCTCTGGGCCAGGTCGGCTTACACACATCTGGGAAAGCGAAAAGTCAAACCATGGCGAGAGGGAGGGAGGGAACAGGAAAGTGGGGGGTGCACACGCATTCACACCAAGTCAGGAGGCAAGGGCTGCACCAGGGTGAGGGCCGGGGAGCATCAGTCCGGCGGCCGGCCACCGCTGACACTCCCAAAGGCTGGGACTCCCGTCTGAAAGGAGATTGCTGGGCTTTGAATAAGCAGAACCAAACTATTGTTAGTCACAAACCAGAACCACAGACCACTGAAAGCTAGAAGAGGCTTTCGAGATCACCTCGTCCTCTCTTTGAGTGAGGAAAATGGGACCCAGACTGGTCAAATGGCTGATCAAGGCTCACTCAGCAAGTAGTGGCAAGGCTAAGACGGGGACCCCAGTGTGCAGGTGGATTTCCACTGAGCCTCCCCTTTCCCTCCGACAGCTTCACCACGATGTCCCCAGGATGCTGTGGTGAGCACTGCTTGGAAGGAATTAGCCTGACAGTCCCTGACCCCTGGGAGCCAAGAGTCGACAGTAGGCAGAAGTGTCACAGGAACCCCTATGTGAGCACCAGCAGGGGCACAGACAGCCACGCAGACACAGACACAGACAGCCACGCGGACACGGACACAGACAGCCACGCGGACACAGACCACAGACAGCCACGCAGACACCGACCACAGACAGCCACGCGGACACCGACCACAGACAGCCACGCGGACACAGACCACAGACAGCCACGCAGACACTGACCACAGACAGCCACGCAGACACGGACACAGACAGCCACACGGACACAGACCACAGACAGCCACACGGACACGGACACAGACAGCCACGTGGACACACAGACAGCCACGTGGACACAGACAGCCACGCGGACACAGACAGCCACGTGGACACAGACACAGACAGCCACGCGGACACAGACACAGACAGCCACGCGGACACAGACAGCCACACGGACACAGACAGCCACGCGGACACAGACACAGCCACGCGGACAGAGACACAGAGCACCGCCCACGAACACGGGCCTCACCGAAGGGGGCCACCCACACTGCGCACGAGTGTTTACATAACAGGCCTGGGGAGGGGGTGGGAACGGGGGCCGCACGCTGGCAGGCAGGTGTGGGGTGAGTGCTTTTCTTACATGGTTATGCTTTGTGTGGGCCCTTTCGTGCTTGCTGAGTGTCTCACAGGCGTGATTGCATCTGAACCTTCTAAGAATCTCCTGAGAGGCCAGCTCCATCACCCCATTTTACAGATGGGGACGGAGCGCTCTGAGCTTAAAGTCACAGAGCTCGTTGTTCTGCAGCCAGGATTAGAACTGAGAGCTCCTCTGTCTCCCAGGCCCAGGTTTTCTCGTTCTGCCCACATTTTCTCCTGTGGGCACTTTCTGGCATAGACTTTGAGGAGTGCCGGCGCAGGGGCCTCCGCGGGGGATCTGCCTTTGGGTTTCTGCAGATGTTAACCCTCCACTCATGCTATGGTTACAGGGACTTCTGCAGCTTTGTCCCTCCGTCATCAAGGTCTCTCCTGTTTCCAGGGTGGTCCAGCTGGCAGAATGAGGTCTGGCGAGTTCAGGGCAGAGGTGTGTTCTGGGGAAGCAGGATGCCGGGGCCACTGAAGTGATGTGAAAATACGAGGAGTGAGGGAGAAAGAGAAAGAACGCTCCCAGACTCTACCCTCCATTTCCGGATGAGCTCAGGAGAAAACTGCTTGTTCATCTGCTAATCCCAACCCAAACACATGAGCTAAAGCAAGAGCTCATCCCTTCCCAGCCCTGGGGAGCTGCTGGCTAGCAGTTGTGGGTTCAGGTGTGCCTGGGTGACATAGCAGTTGTGGGTTCAGGTGTGCCTGGGTGACACATGAGTTACACTGTGGGGAGGGGGAGGACGGGCTCTGCCTCGCTCCTGCATCTGAATGACTGGGTCATCTTCACTCTTATGACTAAAAGCTTCTTAACTCAAGAGAAGCTTGTGGGGAAATACCCACGAAACGCTGCCTGCCAGGTCAGTGGGAGTTACAGCGCGTCTCAGGGGCACGTTCCTTCTCCAAGGCAGCCTTCAGCTCAGCCAAAGTCCTTGACTGTTGGAAGTCACACCGAGGGGAGATGACTTACCCCTACAATCAACTAGCACTGTGGGTCTTCAGCTGCCTTTGTCCTGGCATCTGCTGGGGAGTGACAAAGACTCTCTCCTTGACCAAACCGTAGATGCTCCTCTGAGCACTCTCTTCTATGTGACCCCATCCTTGGGCCCTGTCCTGGGCCTGCCTAGTCCAGTTTCCAGCAAGAATTCTGCTAGGTCAGTTTAGCAGAACCCCCACCCCGACACCTGACCAAGCTTCTCATCTCCCACCCTTGCCGTGAGCGAGCGTCCCATTAGGCCAGTTCTGCAAGAATCCCTCCATTCTTGACGTCTCAGTCGCTTTCCAACCACTGACCCCTCGACTCCGCTGGCTGGCAGTAAATCCCCAGTCACTGCTGCTGTATTCAGAGCTGAGCTCAGTTCTGTCCTGAAGCCTCTCTCCCGTGTTGCAGCGATACTAAATAAAACCCATCTTCACGACCGGTAACTAGTGTGCAGTTCTGTTTCTCTTTAACAGAAGGTAAGAGGCGGCTCTCTCAGTGACCAAAGACAAATCCATTTAGGGAGGTGAGTGGATTCCAGGTAGGAAATTCGGTGAAGTTAAACCCAGTCAGGTCTTGCCCCTGGGTAACAGGTGAGTCTAGGTGGCTGTGAGATACCTAAAACTTGGGAGAGTCAACGGCCCAACCCTCACTAATTTAAGGAGTAGGAAAATTCCTCTGCAGGCCTCATGATGTAGCAGGAAGACAAGCAAAGCCTTCTGAGTCAGAAAGATCTAATCGTGGCCTGGCGCGGTGGCTCATGCCTGGAATCCCAGCACTCTGGGAGGCCGAGGCATCAGGATCACTTGAGCCCAGGAGAGTGAGACTAGCAACATATGGGCAACATAACAAGACCCTCCCTTTTTTAAAACAAAAATAAAATTTAAAAAAGGCCGGGCGCGGTGGCTCAAGCCTGTAATCCCAGCACTTTGGGAGGCCGAGACGGGCGGATCACAAGGTCAGGAGATGGAGACCATCCTGGCTAACACAGTGAAACCCTGTCTCTACTAAAAAATACAAAAAACTAGCCGGGAGAGGTGGTGGGCGCCTGTAGTCCCAGCTACTTGGGAGGCTGAGGCAGGAGAATGGCGGGAACCCGGGAGGCGGAGCTTGCAGTGAGCTGAGATCTGGCCACTGCACTCCAGCCTGGGCGACAGAGCGAGACTCCGTCTCAAAAAATAAATTAAATAAATAAATAAATAAATCAATAAATAAAATAAAATAAATAAAATTAAAAAAAGATCTAATTGTATATCTACCACTCATAAACTGTGACTGCTTGAACAAGTAATTTAACTTCTCTGGCCCTGGTTTCTTCATCTGAATGGTGGAAATAAAAACACTTGCCCCACAGTGACTGCTATGGAGATTAAATTATGTGGGCCAGACCTAGCATGGGGTCTAGACCCAATAAATGTTTTCTTCCTAAAAATTTCCGAGTTTGAGGTTTTGGATTTAGGAGTCAGAAGATACGAGTTTCAACTGCTTTAAAAATATTCAATATTTCTCTGACTCTTTTCTCTCTATGCTTCTTTTTTTCTTCTTTTTCTTTTTTTTTTTTGAGACGGAGTCTCACTCTGTCGCCCAGGCTGGAGTACAGTGGCCGGATCTCGGCTCACTACAAGCTCCACCTGCCGGGTTTACGCCATTCTCCTACCTCAGCCTCCCGAATAGCTGGGACCACAGGTGCCCGCCACCTCACCCAGCTAGTTTTTTTGTATTTTTTAGTAGAGACGGGGTTTCACTGTGTTAGCCAGGATGGTCTCGATCTCCTGACCTCGTGATCCGCCTGTCTCAGCCTCCCAAAGTGCTGGGATTACAGGCTTGAGCCACCGCGCCCGGCCCTTATTTTTCTTTTTTTAAGAGACAGGATTACCCAGGCTGGAATGCAGTGGTACAATCATAGCTTACTGCAGCCTCGACCTCCTAAGCTCAAGTAATCCTCCCGCCTCAGCCTCCTGAGTAGGAAGGACTACAGGTGCATGCCACCATACTTGTTTAAAAAAAAATTTTAGAGATGGGGTCTTTTTATGTTGTCCAGGTTGGTCCTGAACTCCTGGGATCAAGTGATCCTCCCACTTCAGCCTCCCAAAGTGCTGGGATTACAGGTGTGCGCCACCGCGCTCAGCTTTCTCCATGCTTATTGACCAGAGTAGTAAGCAGTGCGCCAGGAGTGGCAGCAGGGAAATAGGTAACACCCCCTCTTTGTTTCGCAGTGTTGCTCTTTGCCCCCCAC